CGACGCCCCGCCTCCCGACGCCCCGCCCATCGCCGTGGCTCCGCCCACTCTCCGCCCCGCCCCTCACCATAAAGGTGGCATTGAGCCCGGAGCGCACAGCTGGCCCGGAGGACTCCAGCACATCTGGCGTCCGGAGCGGGGGCGAGGAGCGCGCGCTGCCATCCTGCAGCCACGAGCTGCCCCGCAGTCCCTCGAGCTTCAGCCGCTTGGCCGGATCCACAGTCAGCAACCCTGGAAGGCGGAGCCAGGAGATGTTGGGGCGAAGCCTTGTGCGAAGGCTGTGCCCCAGGGAGATCCCAACCGCCCCACTCATCTTTCCCCTCCATCCTCAACCACAACTCTGGATGGATGCAGTGACCGGGCTCGCCCTCCCCAGTCATGCTCAGCGACCTCCAGCTCCGCACCTCGGACCAGCTCCTTGGCTTCCTCCGACACGCCCTGCCAGGCCTCCCCGTCAAGGGAGAAGCGCCCCTCGCGGATCTTGCACATGATCTCAGCAGCCTGGCTCTGGCCACCCTGGCCCGAGGCCCCCTGGAAGGGGACCTGCCCCGACAGCATCATGTACTAGGAGGAGGAGGAGGAGGAAAAAGTGAGACGGATCCAGGCTGCAAGGCGGAAACGGACCCCTCCCCCACCCCCCACGCAGAACCTCTGATCCTCTCCACGACTAAAGTAACTCCTGAGTTACTTCTGACCCCCTCATGCACGGATGACTCAACCCCGGCACCACAGAGACCCTGATCCTGGCCACCTCCACCCAGGCGACCTGGTCCCTTGCCTTGGGCTTCTCTGCATCGGGAAGACCTCTAACCCTAGGTTTGGGCAACCCTGAACCCTCCCCTCAAGGACGGCACTCAGTGATGGCAACCCTTACCAGAATGACACCCAGGCTCCACAGGTCGCAGGACTCGTCGTAACCCTGCTGCGCCAGCAGCTCCGGGGCCGCGTACTGCAGCGTGAAGCAGGGGGTCTGCATGGGCCCCGCGGGGCTCTGCGGCCGCAGTCGCGCGAACCCGAAGTCGATGATCTTCACTGGGGCCCCGGGCGTGTCGTCGGCGTACAGGATGTTCTGCGAGGACCACCGCGGGCGATCAGAGGCAGGGCCCCGCGCGCCCAGGCCCCGCCCCGCACCACCGAGACCCGGCGCCCACCTCGGGCTTGAGGTCGCGGTGCACCACGCCCGCCTCCTCGTGCATGAAGCTCACGGCCGACGCTAGGCTGCGTAGGATCTGACTCGCCTCGGACTCGCTGAAGTGCCGCTTCTTGCGGATGTGCTCCAGCAGCTCCCCGCCCCGCAACAGCTCCAGGACCAGGTACGTGTGCAGCTGCGGGCGGCGCACGGGATTATGGTCACCGCCCACCGAACCGGGTCACCAGTCCTCGGCCATCCCAGCCCCAACCTCAAGGCCACCCAAGAACCACCCTGAGGCCTCGCCTCAGGTCTCGGATTCTACCCCACTGCCTTCCGAGACCCCCTCCTTTGGTCATCTTAAATCCCCGCCCTTATAATCCTACTCCCCTGCACACCCGTTTCCTTGGTCATCCTCATCCCCGCCTGCCAGGCCCTGTTCCCCTCAAATCCCACCTCTGGGGCCTCCCAGGTCCGCTCAATTCCCCACACCGACCTTAGGTCCCGCCCACAACACCCCAAGGCCCCGCCTCCTGACCCTCTCCTCCTCTTCCGCCGCCCCACTGGTCGCCTCCCGCGTCCCTCACCTGGTCATGATGCACCTCGTGCAGATTCACCACGTTGGGATGCGATTGGCACAACCGCAGGGCGGCCACTTCGCGCTGAGTGTTCGCCTCCAGCCTGGGGGACAAGGCAGGCGAAGTTACGGTGTCCCCCGACCCTATCGGTCCCTGGACGCCACCCTGGCGGGCTCGCCCGCCACCACCTGCTGGCTGCCGGCTCCCACCTGCGGCTGAGGATCTTGACCGCGAACTCCTGGCCGCTCTGGCGCTGGCGACAGCGACGACACACAGAGAAGCTGCCCTGACCCAGCGCGGGTTCCCGCAGGTCCAGCTCGTACTGTTGGAAGAACGGCGAGTCCTGGAGGCGAAAGAGGTACGTCAGAGGTCCCCGTCCCCCGCGGTGGATCCAGGCCAGAGCCCCGGGGCCCAAAACCCCACAGAAGGCCCATATTCCCCGCGCCCCACCTCCATCCCAGTTCGGCCCACCTGCATCATGGCGCTCCTGGCAACCGCTGCCCGACCAGGCCGGTCTGCAGCGCCAGGTGCCTCCAACGCATCGGTCATCACCGCATTGTTGTGGTCAAACAGGATGGATGGCGCCACGAAGGAGTATCCCTGCAGGAAGGGAGACAAGGGGCTGATGCGTGGGGGGACTGGGGTGCAAGTGATCGGAAGGCCCGGTCAGGATGGCAGAGGGAAGGCCGCCACCAAGGGCCATGGGGGATGTTCCAGATGCATCCGGGTGCACACATGTGTGGACACATTCCATTCCACCTTATTTTATAATCACACCAAGTATGTCTGTCCCCTACTCGTCTGTGACCCCACCTTTCTCATCACAGTGATTTCCCCTCCCAAAGTGCCTGGCACAGAACAGTGGCCTGGAAAATGCAGTCCCACTGGTGCCAGCTGCACCTGGACAGGGCTTTTGCCTGTTAGCTTCACTGACAGGTCCCCATGCCCATGTCAGAGCCTGGCACACATTTTTGAAGCATTACATGAGTAAATGAAAGTAACCAATGAAGCCGGCCAATGAAGCCGGGCACCCATGGCTCACACCTATAATCCTAGCTACTCAGGAGGCAGAAAACAGGAGGATCGAGATTGGAACCCAGGAAATAGTTCGAAAGACCCTATCTCAAAAAAAAAAAAAACCCATCACGGAAAAGGGCTTGGTGGAGTGGCACAAGTGGTAGAGTGCCTGCCCTGAGTTCAAACCCCAGTACCGCCAAAAAAAAAAGTAACCAATGATTCACACCCACACACCCACCCACACAAACCTTTCTAGTTAGACTATCGAACAATGAAACAAAGGACATTCCAACAGAGTTATCAACTCTGATAAGAGTTTCATGGAGGGAATGATACAGTCGTACTTGGTATTGGTCAATCCTTATTTAATGTTTGGACCACGTCCTGCCTGCTGGGCCTCCACCCTGGGCCTAGGGACGCAGGAATTAAACACAGTCCCACCTCTAGGAGGAGTTCTGACCAGTCAGGATACAGGTGACAAAAACTGCTCAGCAGAAGGTGCTGAGGACTGTGCACAAGGAAAGGGTGGCCCAGGAAGCCAGGTGAGTGATAAGGTTTGATCAATGAGTTGAAGCTGGCCAGTAAGGAGAGCACTGCAAGTAGAGGGAACAGCATGTGCAAAGGCACTGAGGTATGTCCTGGAGCCTCTGAGCAGTTTGGTGGTACTCTCCAGAGCACTAGGTAGGAGAACAGTGAGCA